AGGCACTCAAAAAGTCAAAACAATAAATCTATTATTATTAATTATTAAACAATCCATTATGCTGTTTAATTTTGCTATGATAAAATAGAAATTAATTATAAGTTATAACTTTTAAAGGGGGGCAAACTATACTATTGCCCCCTCAATAAAATATCTGGAGGGGCAGTTGTCCGCTCTTGCGCCCCCAGATTACGCCTATGCAAATGACCATCAACAAAGCACAAGGACAATCGCTATAAGACGTGTGTGGACAGAATTTGTTAAATCCGTGCTTCTCACATGGACAGCTGCTGTATGTGGCATGCTCAAGCTCCGGAAAACCTGATTTATTTGTGCACGAACCAGAAGGAAGAACAAAAAATATTGTGTATTGAAATGTATTTCAATAAATATCATTCAATTGAATACTTKAATTGTCAAACTTTTCTTCATAAAACAAATAAATTTATATAATAATAAACTAAATTTATTATCAGGGTTAGATTATTATTTAGTATATTTTATCTATCTATATGTATAAAAAATACTGCTAGCACGATCACAGGTAACAAATTAAACACATAGGTAGTTAGACCTCTTAGATAGGCTTTTTATAATGGGCTACGATGCTACGAAGTGCATGGAATCAGCTAGTTATTARTAAATATAACAATTTAACACACGGATTTTGTAATAAAAACAATTTTTTTTTATATTAGTATATTTTAATTTTATTTGTTATTGCTGTATAGTTTCCTATTAAAAAATATAAGTTAAATAATAATAATAATTTCCTTATAACATTTATATAATAATGAATGATATTAAGCTTTTTTAACCTCTTAACCAAATAATTATTAAACCAAAAATTAATAATGTATTAAACGTTTGAATAAAAGTAACAAAAAAATTAAAAAAATTAGCTTAATATAATTGTAATGTAGGTATATAATAGCGTAATATTATTATTATCATGTAACACTTATTAATGCTACGTACAATATATCTTATGGAAAATCRTACAAAATCGTGATTGTCCTTATTTTAAAATGTAATAAATATATTTATTATCCAATATTKTTTTAAATWAAAAACGAGAGTTCTAGTTTTATATTTGTAATGAAAATAATTAAAAATCAAATAAAGATGTTTTTAAGATATATGATATGTTAGGTAGTGGGAGCTACAGTGAAATTACACTATGAAACTTTYGACCCTAAAATTTGCAAATTATTCGCCATAACAATATACACCTGTATTTACAATGATATTATCAACAATGATAAAATTATGATAAATTAAAATATAATAGAAACTTATAATAGAAAAAATAAAATAAATTTATCSGATATAAAATAAACATGAAAAAGAGTAATGGCACATAACTGATAAATAAATATGTATTAAGATAATCTAGTAAAATATAAAAGAATATTAATTTTGAGTAATTTATTTCTTTATTAAGTTAAATTAGGGTTTTAAGAATAATATAAAGGTGACAATTATTTTTGATAATTATTTTGTAGCGTGGCCGCGTGGAGAAATTAGACGACTATACAACTAATGATTAAAATATAAAGATATTAATATAGAAAATATATAACTATTTTGACTGAATTACATTTATTATAAAATAATTTTCTGCATATAAAACTAGTAAATGTTATATCACATCGCTACAAAATTACATATTTTTATTCTTTTGAAATTTAACAATTGAAAAAAATTTAATGAATAAGTATACCTGCCTACCTATAAAAATTATTAACATTTTGATATGTAAGTACATATAATTATTACATTCATATTTAACAAATACTTAAATTAAATAATAATACTATTAATATTGTACTACAATGTCATAATATACTCTTAATTTTCATGTTTATCTGTTGTCATGACAGTTACTAGTTCAGTAACAACTTTACCTAGGTCACCTATAAAGAATAAAKCAATTAATTTTATTTAGAAATATTGGTTTACAGTTATACAAACCTAGATTTTTCCATTTCCATGAACAGCTAATAAATAAAGTAATATTAGTAGTATTAAAGATGTAATACATACAAAACAAATTGATGTATTAATAAATAAAAATAATGAAAATTTGTTTTTGTACTATTAGATTAGATATTRAGATTTAAACACTTATAATATTACATAGAAAAATATTATTTTAAATTATATTTTACCTGCCATATGGTGTAGATTACCAACAGCATGATGAGAGGCCGATATTGGTGGAGGAGGTGGTCTCTCCAAAGTATTACGACTGTTGTTTTCTGACCAATTTCCTAAACAAAGAATTACAAAGAAAATTAAAAAAAAAAAAAAAACAAGATAAACTAAGATATATCTTTGTATATAATATATATTATTGTATACATATGTAATCAAACCTAGACATACCTGATTTGTCAGAATTTTGCAAAGGAGAGTCACACGCTAATTGAGAAGCTGTCACTGATCTTGTTTGGAATGTTGCTGGCTAAAATTCACAGACACAAAAAAAACCATTTAATTTAAAACAATACTTTAAATATTAACAATTTTATAAAAATTACTAATGTTTTAATGAATAATGTTCAAATTATAAAACAGTTTTTTAAAAATAATCTTATTAAAAACTAGCTCATCCTTGTGCACTTTTTAGCCCGTTAAAAATACCCACTCTTATGATTCAAAATATTAATTCATTGTTAATACCCAGCTTGTCATGATCAAAACTCCTCGTGTCAAATTCCCGTGGATTTACCTTACTTAATCTTCATAAAAGATTTTAACACAGTCTTTTAAAATACAGAACTAAAAGTATATTCAATMATAGTATTTTAAGCTTTGTAAAGGTGAAATAATTTTTAAAATAGGTACCTAATAACAAATTGCTAATTTATTCCATACTAAATTGTATAATCAATAGTAACCATATAACACACAAAAATATATTTAATATTAAACTATTTAAATAAAAAAAGCGGGTAAGTGGATGTCGCTCTGCTGTATATTAGGTGGAGGGCTGACTAGGGTACAGGGCCTGATTTACCAATTCGTGGGCCCAGTACATTTTACAATTTTGGRCCCCAAATTTTCCATCTCTATTTTCTTCAATGCTAAAATAAAAATGTAGGCATAATATATTTTTAAATTAATGCTGTATATAATTAGTATATGAGTAGTTGGATCATAGAATAAATATGTATTGTTAAAAATATGATTATTATGTTTAATATTTATTCGAGTAAAATAATTAACATACACAAAAACAAACTTTGTTTTAAATTAGCCTTTTATGTATCAAATTAAATGTTTTTACGTTTAATGCCATAAATCTAATTTTATTTCAGTTTTCACAAACATTTCCTTGCTTTTTGCTTAGAAAACTGGTCAATAACATCATCAAAATTCAGGTTTGCTGTGATATCACTTTCAATAGATTCAATATTCCGAGAGCGTCTATAGACATATATTTTCTTGACTCAATGTAGATCGTAATCTATTTTTAGTGCGCTAGTAGATAAATTAGTACTAAATGTAAATTTTTCTAAACTACCGTGTAATTTTTTTGTTTCTTGATCTCTTTTATCTTTCAACTTTCTTTTCATTGAACCACTTAAATATTTTTTTGACATTTTAAATTATAAATATACAATAAAAACGATTGACGTAAAACGCGGGACTGAATGCACCACAGAACTACGCAAGACAACGTTAATAGAATTATATTACGATTATTATTAATATATTTAATATTATTACAATATGATATTACGACGATAATAACGGCAATTAGATTTTGTTATCGTCAATGTTGATTAAAGCAGTAGTTATCGCGAAATCCTYATTATACTTTATACCCACAAAAATATCCAAGTAAAATTCCCAGAATATGATAAAAATGGTATATAATTAATTTTATAAGGCTGAAGTCGGTGGGCCCCTCTTTCGAATGGACCCAGTGGCCAGTTCAAATGTCCCATTTGTCCTTGCATAAATATGGCCCTGCTAGGGTAGGTTAGATTTGAATGCAATGATAGGTATCATTATTATAATATAATTTGTCAGTCTAGGATATATTATATTTAAATATTGTTATATATTCTATTTTGAAACAAATATTTTATTTTTCAATTAGGACGCATTTTGCATAAGGCATGGTTAATCAATTTTTCCAAAAACGTTGCATGTAGTTATCATAATTCA